GTAGACCTGCAAGCATTAATGGAGCAGTTGAATAATTTGACAAGCGTCGTCAAACAACCTCCGTGACGAAAACCAACGACTTCGCCAGGCGCAGGAAAGGCGTTCAGAGGAGCCAGGCGACGATGCACGAAGCGAGGCGCGTGAGCAGCAACCGACACCAGTGGAGCTGGCACGGCTAGCGGCGACAGCCCCGCGCTCGACAAGTGGCGGCGTGAGATATCAGCAACCTGCTCCTTTCGACCCAGCTAATAAAGGCGTGACGGTGCGGCAGTGGATATTCGCCATGAATATCTACTTTAACGCGGCGGGCATCCGAGACGACCAGAAGCGGATCGGCCACGCGTTGACACTGCTGCAAGGGGCCGCCCTACAGTGGTGGAAGGTCATCGTCGACTCAGCGGCAACTCGCACAGAAGGACAGCATGAGTGGTCCGAAGAATTCGGCGACGAAGATGAAGCAGATTTGCTGTTTGGTACAACTCACATTCGCACGTGGGCAACGTGGTGCGCAGAGCTTCGGAAGCGGTTTGAGCATGCTCCTGACTCAGACAAAGCGCGCGAGACTCTACGCATGTGGAAGCAGCTGGGAGCTGTGTCCGACGACACCGCGTCATTCTTGACGTTGGTGGATCGCTGTGGCTACATGCACGAGTTGGAGAAGGTCGACAGGTACATGGGCGGGCTGAAGCCTGAAATACAGACCCAGATAAAATTACAACGACCTGTGAAACGGTTACAAAACCAACTCGCTGAAGACGCTGATTCGCTCACGAAGCCGAGGACAAACTTCTACGACGGAGGTCGCCCTCGAGAACAGTACCAGCGCACCACGATAAAAAGGATGGACGCAGTGGACATTTACGCAGTTGCTCCGCGAAATACGGGGCTATGCTACCACTGTGGCCGACCGGGTCACATCAAACGCAACTGCCAAGAGTTCATAGCCATCCAGAATTCTATGGGGAAGAAGCCGGAGGAGCGACCGGGAAATGGGTCGCGTCAGTAAGTACCGGGCCCCTTACTGACGGGCAGGCTTCTTCGCTCAAACCACATAGTCCCCACCGGGTCGTGATCCCGATTGCTGCAATCGACCGTACCCGGACGAATAAGGGGGACGAAACTGCTGATCGCCCTGTGTTGGTGGAGGGTAAAGTCAACGTCGCCGATAACAGCGGAAGATATCACGAAGCTGTGTGAAGCCGTTCCTCCGAATTTAGCGGAACTCATTCGAAAATACCCCGAGATTTTCCCGGACGACCTACCCACCGGACTTCCGCCAAGCCGACCTGAAGACCATCGCATCGAACTGGAACCCGGCGCACAACCGACAGTTCAGCGACAATTTCGCCTCAGCCAACCGGAACTCGATGAATTGCAGCAGCAGTTAGATTACCTCATGACGAAAGGTTTTATCCGCCCAAGCACATCCCCATACGCCGCCCCCATACTGTTCACACCGAAAAAAGATGGCGGATTCTGTATGTGCATCGACTACCGCGCACTCAACCGCATCACCATCAAGTCCTGTTACCTAATCCCGCGAGCCGACGACCTACTCGACCAACTTTGCGGAGCCAAGTTCTTCTCGAAAATCGATCTGCGAGGAGGTTACCACCAAATCCGCGTCGCCGCCGAGGATTGCCACAAGACCGCCTTCCAAACCCGCTACGGTAGTTACGAATACCTGGTGATGCCCTTTGGACTCACGAACGCGCCCTCGACCTTCCAGATGACCGTGAACGGAGTTTTTCGCGAACTCCTGGATAAATGCATTATTATCTACCTCGACGACCTCCTAATATACAGCCGCAGCAGGGAGCAGCACTTAAAGGATCTTGATGCTGTCTTCACGCTGCTGCACAAGAATCGCCTCATCACGAAATGGTCTAAGTGCGACTTTCTTAAGCAGGAGTTGGAGTTTTTGGGCCACGTCGTCTCTACCGAACGCGGTAAAATCGACCCAGGAAAATCAAGACCATACAGGAATGGAAGCCGCCGACCAACCTCAAGGAACTCCAAAGTTTTCTGGGTTTTGTCAACTACGTCCGCCGCTTTATTCCCAATATGGCTGGGTTATCTGCACCGCTAACCGACCGATTGAAGGATCACGATTGTTTTTGGTGGGGTGAGAAGCAGCAAGCTGCATTCGATCAACTCAAAATCGCCCTCACGTTGCCGCCCGTCCTTCGCATCTCCGATCCCAACCGTCCATACGAAGTCGTCACCGACGCCAGCGACATCGCCATCGGTGCAGTTCTCCTCCAGGACTTCGGCGACGGGTTAAAACCAGTCGCCTACGAATTACGGAAGCTGCGGGGAGCGGAAAAAAACTATACACTCAACGACTAGGAAATGCTGGCGATCGTCCACGCGTTCAAGACCTGGCGGTGCTACCTGACCGGAGCTGATGTCACAGTGCGGACGGACCACAAAATCCTTACAGTACCTGCGCGCCCAACCGAATCTCAACCCACGACAGATCCGATGGCTCGATTTCCTCGAGTCCAACTTCCACTACACCATCACCTACAAACGGGGTGCCAATAATATCGCCGATGCCTTGACCCGCCCTACTGTCCATACCGCTGCGATACTAATCGCCCAGACCAACCCATTACTTACGGGACTATTCACCCACGGCTACAAGATCGATCCCTTTTTCCGCTCAGCCATCCATCAACAGCATACCACAGCCACCGGGCCATATTTTTATAAGCGTGGTACTTCTCACATTTGGGTGCCAGGCTACGATTTACTTCGTACCCTCCTAATCCAGGAATCCCACGACAACCCTACCTCGGGACATTACGGCGTCGATAAAACGACGAAGATGTTGCAGCGGAATTACTACTGGCCGAACATGGCCGATGACGTGCGCTAGTACGTGTCCTCTTGCACTACCTGCCAGATCATGAAATCGTCGCATCAGCGAGCAGCCGGACTACTACAGCCGTTGGATCCGCCCGAGTGACCCTGGCATCATGTCACGATGGACTACGTGACAGGACTGCCGGCCGGCCCCAGCGGAAACGACGCCATCCTCGTGGTCGTTGACCGACTCACAAAAATGGCGCACTTCATCGCCTGCCAACAGACAATCACCGCCGAACAAACTCCGCAGCTGTTCATCACGAACGTCATCCGCCTGCACGGACTGCCCTCCGCCATCATTTCAGACCGAGACCCAAAATTCACATCGAATTTCTGGCGCCACCTGTGGGACCAATTCGGCACCAAACTCAAATTTTCATCCGCCTACCACCCACAAATCGACGGGCAGACCGAACGCGTTAACCAAACCATGGAGTAGCTCATTCGCACCACCTGTACTGACCCATCGACATGGGAGAAATCTCTTCCGCTACTAGAATTCGCGTATAATAACGCGACCTCAGCCACAACCAATCAATCCCCATTTTTCCTCAACTACGGACAAGACCCGGTAGTACCCTCTACACCGAACATCGAGTCACCAGTGCCCCGGTCCCAGAAATTTGCTGAAGACATTCTCGCCACTCGCGACAAAGCAGCTGAGGCCATTCGGAAAGCTAACCTGGTCGCAAGCCGACAAGCCGATCGACATCGACGCGACGTCATTTACAAAGTGGGAGATCTTGTCCTCCTCGACACTCGCAATTTGCGACTGCCGATCCCAAGCAAACTCCGACCCAGATTCTGCGGACCTTTTCAAGTGACCAACCTCGTGACACCTGTCACTGTCCACCTTCGGCTCCCGGCTGATTGGCGCCATCACCTGGCTGTCCACGTCAGTCTTCTACGACCCTACGTCCCGAGTTCGTCGGATTTGGCACGCAACCGTGGTGTACCACACCTGACGCCTTTGCAGGAACCGACGACCGAGCCCTTGAAAATTCTCGGCCATCGCATCACCACGCAGCTGAACCGTCGGATGGTTGATTTCCTCATCCGCTGGCGCGATCGCACGTCCGAAGACGATAGTTGGGTGCCCCTCGCTGATCTAGAATCACATCCGATTCTAACGGCATATTACCAGCGTCGGAATGTCTCCGATGCCCACGGTCTCGTTTAGGAGGGGGGGGGGTAGTGTAAGGAATTTCCATTCCTTACTGAGTCGCCCGCTACCGCGTACACCCGAACACTTCGACTCATCACGTTCGGCCTACATTTTCGGCCCAACCCTTTCTCGAGTTGTGCCCGACAGCGTCGCCACATTTGCCGAACCTACCCACGTCCCGAGGTTATCGCCCTATTACGTCCACTCCTATATAACCTTGTGCTTTCATGGCAATAGTGACGACGTATTCTCATCATAGTACATTGACATCTTCTAAATCATAACAAATATGGTGATGAAAACATCACGTTGTAATGGTGGTATAAAGCTTAATCGAACATCGAATGTAGTTAACCTCTTTCGATTGACCTCGGGCACCGGTACAAGCATCTTGCCCTGCACCTGCTCTCCCTTCTCCTTCCAGTCCTTCGCTACAAGAGCAACGGCTTTGACAATACTTTGGTTCTCTCTTCCCTCCCAGCCTTCAATTCTCGCTTCCCCTGTCTCTCACAGATCTCCCACCTAAAACCCTCTCAGAATGTCAATGGTGGCCCAAGTATATGGAGCCCTGTTGCGATTGGTGTTTCCTGACTTTCCTAGTTAGCGTCAACGTTTGGGTTACGCCTTAAGCTGAGTTTGCAGTCGTGCGAGGCTTACTTTCCTCAGTGACCGTCACTATGCTGCCGCTGGATAGAATGGTGAGTCCTGATTCGCAGTTTTGCACACTCGCTGCTTTCCAATTCTTTCGAAAACATCGTCTAACCATCAGTTAGTTTCGCCTTCGTTTCCTGTCGTGTTTTGTGTGAAGGCCTTCGGACTTGAACCTCCCAGATCAGTGTTTCAAGTGGACGCCAGTTGATTCTATTCGGGATGGCACCGATTTGGTTTCTGTCGGACCTTTATCCGCAGATTCCGTATCTTCCAGGTATATTTTCGAGGTAGTTGTTCGTCTATGCTTTCGTTTCCTCCTTCCAAATTTATTGTGTCCGCGTCTCATTTTCAAATGGTGATCTTTCTCAAACTCACTGGGTTCCTTCACGCCTACCCGTTGAGTTCTTTCGACCCTTAAGATCTGGTAATGTTTTTCCTTCAAGTTATGTCGCTTCGTCTCGCCTCTGTGATTATGCAAACTGTTATTAGCTCTAGCTGATAAGCCGTGATGAGCAAAACTAGATATCCATCGGATGAGAGGCGCTGACTCAAAAGCTCCACCGTCTGTCTTCGTCTCTTGTTCTCACTCACTCTATCCTTTCTCTCACTCTCTCTAAAAATTTTCCTGGGAAAAGCAGAGGGTTTGAGTTGGGGGCATTCGCGCCGGCGTCCCCCTGGGATTGCATGTGCGCATTGCCCGCTCTGCTGCTGCTGCTCTCCTTCCCGCCGGTGGTAACCACCGTAACGGAAGCCGCAGCAGCAGTAGCAGCTGCTGCCAGCGAGGATCCCCACCCTCCCGTCATCCCCAGGCAGACCAGCCTGAAGCCTCGCATGTGCTTGGAAGCCTCGCCTTCATGCATTCATGTGATGCCTTCTGTGGTTTTGTCCCTCTGTGCCCTCTCCTTGCTGCCTCTGGTGGCTCGTGGCTTGCTGGACGGGGGATCCGCCATACATTGCCTTGAATCCCTCGCAGTGGTTTTAGCGCTTCCCATCTTTCTCTCTTCCCTTGACGTCATTTCTCTCCCTTGCCCTCGCCCTTCCTCTCCTCTTCATTACCACGCCTTCCACCAAATCTCAAGGTTTGAGACCAGTGATTAGATCACAGTTTCAATTAACCATCTTTCGGGACATATCGAGGGTTAACCACCCTCATGATGATGTCAGCTGACGAATGAGGTCTCTACGCGTACCTTTTCTTCGTACGTAATCTTCTTCCGTGTATCCCGCTGCGTCTCATCGATCGTCCATGCTCCTTGCTTGCTGCCGCTGTGCTTCTCTTTGCGCTTTCCGTGATTCGTCGAATCATTCTGTTGCATCTCTCCTTCCCTCCTTAATCCTTTCAGATGTCAATGGCTCTCTGGCCTCGAGAAACCACACGGCAGATCACACGCTGACGTGGAAGGTCCTAGAAGCTAACCTGGTAGCTGGTCGATAATAGTCAACGCCAGTGAACGCTGAAGGGGCTCCAGTCGTCATCTCCTGGCACCTGGTGTTTCGTCTTCTCCGGAGTGCGGACAATATTGCGGGCTGCATTCTTTCTCAACGCGCTCTTCCCTATGGCCCCGTTCCGCTGGTAAGTTCCTATTCCACTTTGAGAACGACCTGCTCTGAGAGGGGTTTAAGGTTTTCTGAGCGAGTGGGTTCTGCGCTGAGAAGGCTCCCCTCTGAGTGAGTGAGTAGGGTTTTGTACTGATAGGGTTTCCTCTGATGCCACCAGTGCATTGTGTTGAGGCCTCAATGATTCAAATTTGCAACCGACCGAAGCATCGCCTGATTAATCAGGCTGTTAATGCGGTGTTCTAGATCAATAACATGAGAGGTCTTGGGTTCTTTCAATCTCCTCTCTGCTGCTTTTTGGCGGAAGAGGAAAGGATATCTTGAATGGGACAAAGTGACTCGAGGTGGGGAAATTGCTCGGCAAGGAGTAACGGGGAGGGAGGGATGGGAGACATAAGGGTGTATATCTAAGGGCCGTTTATCGCCTCTGAGCCCTGAGATTTTCGTGGTTTTTCTTTCCTCTTGAGTCCTATCGCCTCTGTGATTATGCAAACTGTTATTAGCTCTAGCTGATTGCCATGATGAGAAAGACTAGATATCCATCGGATGAGAGGCGCTGACTCAAATGGTTGCTCTCTCTCTCTCCCTCTCTCTCTCTCCCCCTCTCTCTCTCTCTCTCACTCACTCACTCTCTCTCTCTCCTCACTCTCACTCACTCTCCTCATTCTCACTCACTCTCCTCTCACTCTCACTCACTCTCCTCTCACTCTCACTCACTCTCCTCACTCTCACTCACTCTCCTCTCACTCTCACTCACTCTCTCACTCTCCTCTCACTCTGACTGTATCATCTCACTCTTTTTACCCCTGCTCGCAAGCTCGCAATCCCTCAGTTCTATGTTTCTGGTTCACTCAAACGTACATCAA